AAGAAATTCAACACCATGGCAGCGGTAATGATTTCAGGGCCTGGCGGCAACTGCCTGAAAAGGACAAGGAAATGCAGGAAACTGAGTGATAGTACCGTTCCCACCCTAAGTGGCAACATTTAGCACGAACATTTAGAAGACCTCATTTCTCAAACATGCACACCAACGGACAAATGGTTCTTAGAGAGTATAGGAACAAACGCTCTATGTAGAAATATTTCAATAGTGACTCACATACGTGTGCGCAAGTTACTCTGCAAGCATCACAGGAATCGGTATATTGAAAATGTTAAATGCTACATAATAATTGCAGACCATCCAAATTAGTTTGGGAGAGTAAATATTTGAGGTGCCTTTAAACAATTTTTTTTCTAAATCATCCCCAATAAAAGACAGGGGGAACAGGTAGCATTCTATTGAATCTAAATAGGTGTATAGCTGCTGGAAGAGATCAATGTCTCTGGGAAAATCTTGCTAAGCTCCCAATACCACAGTAGATAATTCTCATTCACCAGGTCTTAATGTTCCCCTGGCTATTTCATTGTCATTCACATCCAGGCCCTGTCTCAGGACAATGAGTTGGCATATGAAGCACTTTCTATGAAAGGAAATCAATCTATGGAAAAGATGTCTGTGCTCCCACGTTCACTGCACCACTGTTCACAATAACCAAGATACGGAATCAAACAAAGTGTCCCTCAACAGACGAGCGGATAAAGGACATGTGGTACAGACACACTATGGGATAGTGTGCAGCCATGAAAAAGGAATGAAATCCTGTCATTTGCCACAATATGGTTGGTTGGAATTGGAGACCATTAAGTTAAGTGTAATAAGCTGAGCAGCCAAGGAAGACATCCCATGTTCTCCCTCGTATGTGGGAGCTAAAAACTAAAACGATCTCATTTTGATAGAGACAAGAATGATGGCGAAAAACGTAGGGAAGTGTAGCAGAGCGGGGAATAAAGTGGGAATGGCTAATGGATGCAAAAAGATAGTTGGGCATCATGAAGAAGAACGAGTAGTATAAGACAGTACAACAGGCCGACTGCAGTCAACAAAAAGTCACTATATGCTTATCACAACTGAGAGAGTGAAGTTGGAATGATTGTTACGCAAGGAAACGGTAAGTGCTTGCGGTGCCTGGTACCACAATTGCCTTCATTTGATTACTACACATTCCACACCTGCCTCAAACAGCACATGTACCTCATTAAATATACACAGCTAAACAATTAAAAATACAAAAACATGTTAAAAAGCAAGCAATCATCACTTCAGTAATACTTTACACTGCCATGAAATACCCAGGAGCTAAATTTGAAATAAAGGCAACAATCATTGCTTACAACTGGGTCCTTGCTCTTGGAGAAACATCGGCAGCAGACAGACGACAACATGCAGGTAGAAAAGATGAACTCTCCCTGCATTCATCTAGAGCTACTCGGTCCATGGAGTGGAACAAAGAGCCATGATGACTCTGTCAGCAAAGTATGAATTTCGTGTACGATATGAATATTTCGGGGAACACGGCCAAATAGCCATTTCCTGGTGTGACTGTCACCCACAACCACTAATAAATTCTAAATGTAAAAATACATTTATTACTTTTCTGACGACAGGGCCAAAGATACCCAATGAGAAAATGCTTAATATTTTTAAAGATATAATCAAAATGTGAACATGTTTCAGAAAGACAGTCTTTTCATCCTCAACATACACATCAGGTGTTATGAGAATATACTGTGTTGCCAAATACGACAGACCTTTAAGTAAGCCTGGAACAACTTTTTAAATTGGTTCATTCTCCGCCTGTGAACATTGTTAAGTTGCTGAGACACTGTTTGTAGCTGTTGAAGTATATCCTGAAAATATACAAGGAAAAAAGTTGTAGTATCTATTTGAGTATAACTTAAGATTTAAGAAAACATCATTCTAGACAAAATTTCAACAGAATAGAAAATGTTCTGACATAACATTAGATACATAAGACTTATTCTTGGTGACTTCAAAATCCACACACATGTTCTTCTCAACAATGATGGACTTTATGCTCCTGCACAGAATATACCTCTGAACGTAGCCACCCACAAGGTCACACCCTGGGATGGGCTCAATCCCAATAACCGCAACATCTACCCAATATGAGAGATACCAAAACCTTACATAGGAGCCACGTCTTAGATATATTGCCGAACCATTTTCAACAAACTCATTACGTAGTAACCCACTTGATGCTCAGAGCAACTCTCTGACAAAAGTTCTCTTGTGACACCCACACCACAGAGGACGACACTGGGGCGCAGAAACAATGTTCTCACGGCTTCACACACACTGATGGTCTGATCAGAGCTGGACCTCAAGAGTGCAGTGTGGTTCCAGACTCCACACGCTTGACCACCGTTCTATACTCGTCCCCTATTCTTCCCAACATCCAGCCACGCATTCCCTCACCTGGCAGGTGACTCATTTCGGTATCACTGCTCACTAGTCTATGAGAACTGACACCCATCGAGCACTTTTCACTTTCCAGCACCCCATCCCCGGGTCCTCACTTTCTGCAGTTCCACCTTAAATTCCAGGCTGTCATCACACCTCTGTTCTTGCTCATCTATCCTGCCTGTAGCTTTGCCCTCTATCAAGTTGCTGCATAAGCCCAACTCAGAAAATTCCAATTCTACACCTGCTCTGACATAACCAAGGTGCCTGGTCTCACTGTCAATTCAATGGTCACTGTGACACTAGCCTAAGATGGATCCCCGAATGCCACCTGGCAATTAGATTCCCCCAATCCATTCACTGGCCCACTCTCAGAAAACCATACCAGGCCATCTCCTTTGCCCTGAAGGTAAAACCTCCTCTCCCATCCAGCTCATGACCTTACTATCTCAGTAAAGGGACAGGCCCATCCACAGAGGATGTCCACTCTCCCATCCCTTGGTCCATCTGGGCTCACGGACTCAACCTTAGCTGCTGAACTTCTGCAGGAATTCTTGCTACTTGAAATTTGGATACAATGGACAATTTAATTGTCAACTAAGCCAGATACCTACAACAAGTTTTTCTTCTTCTTCTTTGAGCTTCTGTGCACCCAATTTGTACTCCTGAATCATGGCCAAAAACTGCTGAAAATATTCCTGACAAAGCTTCTGCCTGTCAAACAGAACAACGGATGCTGTCATACATCCTAGAAATGACAAAAAAGTCAAACACTTTCCAAACAAAATTTTTTTGCCCTGGCTTTTGCGATGAAGGGAGAAAGTGATAACATTAGTCATATACTTCTGACAGGAACTGGGAAAATAAAGTAGATGAATTATTCTCATCATCAGTAAGGTCATCAGTATTTGTTGGTAACTAGCTAGGAGGGAAGCTACTTCACGTGCCTTAGCTCTTCACAAGCATGGAAGAGGGACTGTATTCTAAACTTTCCATTGAAATGCATTTCATGGACATGAGTTTCTTGGCCCTTTTCTCTGTCTGAATATTATGTAGGCTGTGATGTCAGGAATAGCTTCCATGAGGACAATGTACTCATTTATCATCCATGATGTCCCACCAGATATACATCGTTTTCCCCCACCTGTCACAGTAACAATTTTGGACAAGAAAAGTAGTGAGACTAACTCAGTGAAGTTCACAAATTATTGTAGTATCAGTTCAGCCTGTTCTGTGTAATTAAACACAGCTATTACAAAGCTAATGCCTGAAGACATTTAACTCTACTTCAAGAAGCAGATTCATGGAATGAACAGAAACTCTTTCATGTCAAGCACATCAACTATAATAGGGAAGGGCGAAAGAGGTCATCTTTATTGCCCCTGAGGAAGTGCATCTCATTCCAATCAAGGTGTGAGGTCAGAGGACTAAAGGAATGAATACCTTAGAGACAAATGAAGCCAAAGTCAGGCACCCCCCAAATAGAACATTGTTTTCTTCCCTACTCTGTACTCAGAAACATTAAGACAGGAGACAAAGGGTTTGGCTCTCAGTTTCCAACAACCTTACCTTTGCTCTCGTTGGGTTCTCGAAACATGATCAATTGTTTGCTGAATGTTTTTGATGTAAGGCTTCATCGTCATTTCGAATCTTTTTCTCTTTGCATACCAAACCTTTTCCATGTCCCCTGCATTGCAAATAGATAGTCATTGAAATATAGTGTTTGGAACTATTTTCTTCCCACATGTTCAAGCCAGTTTGGGTAAGGCTGGATCGCAGAATTGGAAGGACACTTAGCATGAACCAATAGGCATTTTGAAAACCACAACTCTTCCGCGTGCGCGCGCGCGCGCGTGTATGTGTGTGTGTGTGTGTGTGTGTGTGTGGTGTGTATGTGTGAGAAAACCTCCAGTTACTAGCCCTTTAATTCAATGTGCCAAAATGGCACATTGGTTTTTTTATTTAGGAAGAAATTATACCAGAGGATCAAAATTGTAGGGACAAACTAGAAAATATTCTAATGGAAACAAAATCACTAAAGCTTTTCTGAGGCTTTGAAATGGCAAGAGGCTGACTCCTTATCTTGAAAGCTGAATGCAGCCACGAGAATAAAACACTTCACTGATTTGGAACAAGTTGAAAGATTAGATTAGAAAGCAGTCTTTGGACTGGATGGAATATGTTAACAGAATACATTAAAAGGTTACATCTCCCCCGTTTACAACATACGTTCCCTTTTTCAATGTTAATTCTAACCCAGACCCTTTGTCCACTCCTCTATATGGTATTCCCCTGAGGTCTAAGGCAAGACCCACCACCACATGTCCCGTGTGAGGACGTACTTCCCTGGACTCCTAAATAATCACGACAGATCAGCTACTGCTACAGTGTCA